ATTAATCTTTAATCCCGAAAATAAACCAAATTGATTTAAGAGCTCTTGCAGGGCAGGTAGAGACACTATGGGGTTTGTTAAGAAGAGCACCATATCATCTGCAAATAAAGCAATTTTATGTTCCTGTGTGCGTAGTTTGATACCAGCAATGTCCGGATGTGCTCTTATAGCATTGGCCAGTGGCTCAAGCGATAACGCAAATAGGATGGGGGATAATGGACACCCCTGCCGAGTACCACGTAAAAGTGGGATGGGTTTGGAGCACATTCCATTAACTTTAATTCTAGTAATGGGAGAAGCATACAATGATTTAATAGTAGACAAAAATCTCTGTCCAAATCCCATTGTTTCTAACACAGAAAAAAGATATGGGAACTCAACCGAGTCAAACGCCTTTTCCACATCAAGTGATGGAAAGGCCATATTAAGTTTGTTCCGTTGGGAATGACGAAGTAAGGACATCGTTTTAATAGTGTTGTCTGACAAATCCCTACCAGGGATAAAACCGACCTGATCCTTTTTAACATATTGAGCTATAAATGTGTTTATTCTCTTGGCCAGAGCTGCTGTTAAGATTTTAAAATCTTGGTTAAGGAGGGAGATGGGTAGATAGGACGCCGGATCCAAAGGGTCCCTATTCTTTTTTAGAATTACGACTGTGTGAGCTTCACGCCACGAAGGTGGAAAGTATCCCAAGGTCAGAACCTCATTACATGCTTCAGTCAGATGGGGCACTAAAGATTTTGCAAACATTTTATAGAACTCTGATGTGTACCCATCAGGGCCCGGGGTCTTCATAGGTTTTAATGATTTTATAACCTCCATAATTTCTTCATTAGAAAAACAATAGCTTATGGCTGTCTTCCAATCTGGGCACTATGTCTTTGCCTTTTAAAAAAGAAATCATACGTTCATGGTCTAGTGGGCAGGAAGTGTATAATTTTTTATAGTATTCTTCAAAAACATCAGATATAGAATCCGTGTTATTAAAAATGTCTCTATTTCGACTTTTTATAGCAGAGATCCTATTAGCTGACTTCAGGGCTTTCGTCTTATGGGATAGTAGTTTTAAAAACGAACTTTGAAGTCATCTCTTACTGGGGATAGCCAATTCAGTAAGCATGGACCGCAGGACTTCCTTCTAAAGATCTAGATATCCCGTATTTTTAAGGTCTCTATACGGCAGGAAGAAGTTTACTGGAGCACTGCCAACGTGGGCAGTCATCCTGTATCCTGGATGGCCCAGGCTAGTCTGATCTCATTGATCTCAGAAGCTAAGTAGGGTCGGCCCCAGTGAGTACTTGGATGGGAGATCACCAAGGAAGTCCACAGTCACTACACAGAGGTAGGCAATGGCAAACCACTTCTGGACATCTGTTGCCTTGAAAACCCTAAGGGGGTCACTATAGGTTGGCTGTGACTTGAAGACATTTTCAGTGCATGCAACATCACTGGTACCTCCATCCATGATAAACTAAAGTGATTAGTCTCCTAGCCCAGGCAGGTATCTGCAAAAAGGAGGATTCCCAAACTCATTTTGCACATAACAATCGGTGCCAAATTTTCAAACACAGAGGTCAAAGTGTGACTTTGGTTTCCCTTGATTTAATCGCTTTTCCTTCACTGCAGCCATAAAGTACCACATGAGTCACATACAAGCCTTCCTGAGTTGCTCCACCAGATCGATGGCAGAGCTTGCTAAAATTGCACTAACGCAAGAGCCCTTCTCCCAGCCACTTCCCGCTCTGGGTAGCAAGCCCACACAATGGAGCCATCTCTGTTCTTAACAATGCCCATTGGACTGAATGCTTACTGGTGTTCATTGGTGCAGTGAAGATACACCCGAAGCCGCCTGCGGTCTTCACCCGTCAGGCTGATGTCCAGGACTTTGGTGCCCACCAGTTTCTTGTATAGCAAAGAGAGCCAATAATCCTATTTTGCATTAAAAAAGAAAGATGGCTTTTGTGCACAACAAAGAAACACAATATGCACAAACAACATATTCCAAGAAACGCTGCCCTAAAAAATAACCCCTTGATGTCTGCTGTGCAAAGAGGTATCCTATTGTTAAATGGCATGCCACATGCACAGAAGCAGAGAGAACAGCTTTCGTTAAACTCTTGCTGGAAACCAGGAGAATGTTGGTCAAGGAAAAATGCTTCCCGGGGGAAGTCATATTTTGCCAGCACTTACAAACAGGAAATGCTGTTTTGGTATCTAAATTCTGGAAGAGTGCATGGCTTGCCATTGGTTGACAAAACAACCTGGGATCACAGTGTAAAGGAACAAAAAACTAAATGAACACTGTGAATAATGGCTACTATAGGTTATAATGGAAATTACATTATGTATGGTCCTTACATATTAAGTAGTTAACAAAGATATCACAACAATTAACGTGATCCTGTGATGTAAATTAAGAAAAGTCCCAGGCTTGTAATGCTGCAGAACAGCTTCTGTGATGAGTTGAAGGGCATCCAGATGTAAGCCCATTTCATGGTTCATGGAGCACTTTATTCTGTTTTTGTTGTAATTTAATGGTTTTACTGTTTTATATTGTTTTTATGTATGGATTTGTGCCCCCGTGTAAGCCGCCCTGAGCCCGTTCGTGGGGAGGGCGGGGTAAATATGTTAATAATAAATAAATAAATAAACTAATAATTAATTAATCTTCCTCAGAAGTGGCCTTTATGTTGTAATGTTCATGGTTCGCTCTAGGAAAATAACCACAGACGAAGACTTACTAAGAATATCTTCTGAGGAAGATTAACCACAAAACGGACTTACATCTGGATAATTGTCGACTCATTGCAGAAGCTGGGACTTTTCTTAATTTACATCACAGGATCACATTATTTGTTGTGATATCTTTGTTATCTACTTAATAGGTAAGGACCATATGTAATGTAATTTCATCATAAACTATAGTAGCCATTATGTTGTCGAAGGCTTTCACGGCCAGAGTTCATTAGCTGTTGTAGATTTTCTGGGTTGTGTGGCCGTGGTCTTGGCATTGTAGGACCTGACGTTTCGCCAGTAGCTGTGACTGGCATCCTCAGAGGTATAACACAGAAAGATGGAGTACTCTCTGTGTCAAGGTGAGAAGAAACCTCCTCAGGAAACAATCCATATACAAAAGAACCTCCTCAGGAAAGCTCCTCCATTAGCATGTTCACAGCTTGGGGAACACATACAAGATAATTACTCAGACCTACCCCACTTTCCTGAGTAAATATAAATTACCTGCCTACCATTTTTCTTTTCACCTTGACACAGTGAGTACTCCATCTTTCTGTGTTATACCTCTGAGGATGCCAGTCACAGCTACTGGTGAAACGTCAAGTCCTACAATGCCAAGACCACGGCCATACAACCCGGAAAATCTACAACAGCTATAGTAGTCATTATTCAAAGTGTTTGTTTAGTTTCCGTTGCCATTGGTTGATACATGGCTACCTAAACCTTTGAGTGTTCTCTCCGTGAATAAACTGACCTGTTAAATACCCATGAGAAGGAAAGAAGATGAAAAAGGAATTTGTGAACAATGTTATCCACCAATACAATGCTGGAACACAACAAAAGCACTAGACAAGGGGTTCTACTGTTGATTTAAACTTGGGATGTGTAGGTTTTTGCTTGAAGACAACAGTAATGCACAGTATACTTTTGATTGACTGAATCTATGTAATTTATCATTTTGAAATAATGGTACATGTTATAAGGACTGGGAAATGCAGTCTGTTCCCTTAGCAAGCACATCTATTATCTGAGAAGCTTGATTGCCAGAATGCAATGGGTACATGCTGGCTAGTGCCCATGCCCTACTGGCAATGAATAATGCCATTCCTGCCCACCCCCTTCATCTCCATCCCATTTTGCAATCTCAATAATGGTATAAATAATATTTATTATTTAACCTTTTTATAATCTTAGTGCCAAGTCCTTCCCTGCTATATTAAGGAAGCCTAGGGGTGCTCACAAAACAGTGAAAAAATTAAAAGTGCTGCAGATCAGTAAGTTACTCCACACCCTGGAGAGCAAAACCTTACCCTATTTATTTTCTAGCTTCCCCCCCCCACCAATTTCCTTGTTTAGGTTTCATGGTTATGACCTCAGAAGCACCAGGAAATAGATAAGTTGTGTTACTACGCGGAGTCATTCCTTGAATCCATGGCCATTTTAAGGACCTCGGCAAAGCTCACTGATAAGCCGTTAAGCTAATCAGAGGTGGCCCGCCTACTAGGCAGCCCTGGGAAACTGCCTAGGGTGCCAGAGGGAAGAGGAGTGCTGTAGGTAGCCCACAGCATCCTGGCCCCAGCACCACCTCCTAGGCTGCCAGGCTGGCCAAAGGCTCGGGGTGCTCCTGGGCCGGCCAGCTGGTGGGGGGCATGTGCTCAAGCCATCTAGCCTAGTGTGCAAAAAGCCCTTGGGTCAGCCCTGAGGCTAGTTCTAAATTGATCTTCCTGGAGGCAGATCATGCATAATTTGTGCCTTAGCAGGGTAAAATACAGAAAGCATCTAAAGAAAAACATACAAGATCATTTTTCAAGAACATTGTTATTGTATACATACTGGCAGAGGTTCGAAGCTGGCATCCACCAGGTGGTATGTCCCCGCTCCAAAGAAAACCTGTCTCATCACCACATCGATACCCAGCTTAGCAGACAGTCCTAGTTTGTCCAGCCACCTGGCAAATAGAATTGGGAGACAAACCTCAATGCAAAAAAAATTAAATAAATCTTAAAGGAATTAAAAGGTGGGAAGGAATATATTCTAGGCAAAGTTAGGTGGTTTTTCCCTCCAGTGCATGTGGCAGAAATGCTGGCCAATGCAAATATCCATAAGTGCTACCTTTGAATCATTCCCCAAGATTAGAGAAATGCATTTGGAAGGCTGTTTCTCAGAGGAGGGCTGGGAGCTGTTTCCTGTTGGCAGCAGAGGATTGGACTCACAATATTGGGTTTAAATTATGGGCAGAAAGATAGTGGCTGTAGGATGGAGGGGCTGTGGCTCAGTGGTAGAGCATCTGCTTTTCATGCAGAAGGTCCCAGGTTCAATTCCCAGCATCTTCAGGTTTTTTTTAAAAAAGGACTAGACAGCTGGTGATGTGAAAGACCTCTGCCTGAGACTCTGGAGAGCTGCTGCCAGTCTAAATAGACAATACTGACCTTGATGGACTGATTGCCTGATTCAGTGTAAGGCAGCTTCATGTGTGTATGTATGTATGTTGGGGGGGGGGATTTTTCTTTTGCAGTAAGAGTAGTTCAGCAGTGGAATCAGGTGCCTAGGGAGGTGGTGAGCTCCCCCTCACTGGCAGTCTTCAAGCAGCGGCTGGACGAGCATTGGTCAGGAATGCTTTAGGCTGATCCTGCACGGAGCAGGGGGTTGGACTAGATGGCCTGTATGGTCCCTTCCAACTCTGTGAGTCTACATAATCTTGGACGATGTAGAAGGAGCAAACCTACAAGGGGTTACTCAGAAGTGTACCCACTTAATTCATTAGGACTTGCTCCCAGGAAATTATGCGTTGGATTGCAGTTTTAACTTTGGTTCAGTAACTGTAGCTGAGAGGAGCGGTGGGCATTGAAGGAGAGGACTGCCCTTTGGTTTTCAAAGGTCTGTCCTTTATAAAGAATTCCAGAGCTCCGCAGGGATCCACACACATGGCTTCTTTTTGTTTAAACAGAAAGTACAAGAGTATACAAGCTTCTGAGTCGCACAGAACTCTTTTGACAGGCGTCCACCAAAAGGACAGTTCTGTGTAACTCGGAAGCTTGCCTGCTCGTACATTATAACATCAGGCTAATAAAAGAAACAATGATGTCTATTTTGTTTCCTTTAGGGCTTGCCATATAGATCACTGACACGATAGGGGTGAGTTTCCAAGACTGTCACGATCCTGGCAGTTTTGGGTTGGATGGATGTTCCCAGGCTTCAGTGAACACAAGAACGTCTCCTGTTTGGCCAAAGGAAAAGTTGCCGGTGTGTTGGCTGTGGACAGATGAGATCTCTCAGTAAACGGGATGTTCAGGTTTGTTTCAAATAGGTACCGTTATCCTTACATAAAACCAGCAAGATATGTATTGGATAGTCGAGGAGCGCCCCCTCCATAGGCCGAACTTGTCTCTCCCAGCCATACTTTCTTCCCTGGTACTGTGGCATCGACAATCTAGAGAAGACACAGAAGGGGAAATCAGTATGGGATCCTGGCCCTGGGAGACAACAGAGGCCATGGAGCAGAAGGCTCAAGCCAGCCACAGAATAAGAATTTGAACTGCCTGTTTAAGTTGGCTTTGTCGAGCTTACTGCATGCTTCTACTAGCTGGTGCAGGATTCAGCCTTTCCTTTTTTAAAAAAATAAATAAATCTATTTATTTGGTTTTTACAATGTCACACCACTTAACAATCTTCAATACACTGTATCAAAACAATATATGGTTTCCATCACATCATGAATTTTATCTATCACATAACAATTTTCCCCCGTATCAGGTTTAAGTTAAACAGTGTTCTTACGCTTTTATCTTCTTTCTTTCCCTAATCAGACTAGCTTAACTGTCATTTATACTAATCTTCCTTATTTTCAGCCAGTTATAAATTGGTTCCCATTTTTCCCAGAATTTTTCTTCCGGTTTCCGTTTTAATTCCATGTTCAGTCTATCTAATTCCGCTATTTCCAGAATCTTATCTTTTAGTTCTTTTATTGATGGTAGTGTATTGGACTTCCATCTCTTTGCGATCAAAATTCTTGCCGCTGTTAATATGTGTATAATTATATGTTTGTGTTTTTTAATTTCATCCGGGATCATATTCAATAAGAATATTTCTGGCAATAAGGGTAGATGTATTTTGGTATATTTGTTTAATATTCTTTGCAGTTTTTTCCAAAATTCTCGAACCTTATTACAATTCCACCATATGTGCATGAATGTCCCTGTATTTTTTCTACATCTCCAACATCTGTTGGAGGCCTCCGGGAAGCATTTTGCTATTTTATGGGGCGTCCAGTGCCATCTGTAGTACATTTTATATATATTTTCTTTAAATGGTACTGCTCTGGACAATTTGATTGATTTCCAAACTTTGATCCAACTACTTTCTTCTATTTTGTGGCCTATTTCCTTTTCCCATCTTAATTTAGATTTTTTATTCTCATCTTCTGGGCTGAAGTCCATCAAAAAAAAATTATAGACTTTTTGTATTAGTTTATCGCTCATTGAGAGCCATATCTTATCTAATTCTGTTTGGTTGCTATGAAATCCTATTTTCTTATCTATATTATATCTTGTTGATATTATATTCTTATCCCACCATGACAGTAGTATTTCCTGCTTTGCTAATGATTCATCCGATCTCAATTCCAACTCTTTTGTGAGTAAATTGCTATGTTTCCTTTTTTCTACCAATTATTAGAGATGGTAATGTGAATGCCTCCAATGGAGAAATCCATAATGGTAGTTTCGGGTAGCTATTTTTCTTTATCACGTTCCAAACTTTTATCAGTGCTCGCCTAATTATATGTATATGGAAGTTTGAGTGAATTTTATCCTTACCATACCAAAGGTATGCGTGCCAACCCATCGCTAAATCTGCTCCTTCCAGTGCTAATACCCTATTGTTTTCTAATTTAGCCCAGTCTTTTAACCATTCCATACACGCTGCAAAGTAATAAAGCTGCCAGTTGGGTAATGCAAATCCTCCATTTTCCTTTAACCCAGGGCTCTAGTCGGGGGGGAGCTCTCAGGTACGGAGCTCCGGAAGAGAACCTCTAGGGGGCGGGGCGGTCATGTGGTGAAGCCCCGCCCCCTTCTTTACCCCGCCCTCTGCTTCGATCCTCATTCCGTTTGGGAATGAGGATGAAGCAGGAGGGTAAGTAGCCGGGCCTTCTGACACACTTCCGGTGATGTCAGGGGGTGTGGCCTTCTGTCACTTCCGGTGATGTCAGGGGGCATGGCATATGCAAATAAGTTATGCTAATGAGTTATGCTAATGAGCTCCGGCAGCTCTTTTTCTACAACAAGACCCCTGCTTTAACCTATGTAAGTTCAAATTTATTCGCGGGTTTTTTGACTGCCAAATAAACTTCCCTACTATTTTGTTTAAATCTTTGAAATATTTATATGACTTTAATATTGGTAAGTTTTGCGCTAAAAATAAGAACGTTGGAAGAATATTCATTTTAATTGTGGCTATCCAACCTAACAGCGATAGATGTATTTTCCCCCAACGATTTAAATCTCCACTAATCTCTTTTAGTAATTTCATATAATTATCTTCGTATAATGTAGCTGTATTTTCTGTAAACCAAATTCCTAAATATTTTACTTTCTTGACTATTTCCATCTTTGTAATCTCTTTAATCTTTTCTAACAAATTATCCCTACAATTCTTTGCTATAATTTTTGTTTTTTGGAAATTTATTTTTAACCCGGCTACTTTGCCAAATTCTTGTAGATCTTCTATTAAATATTTTAAGGACTGGTCTGGATCTTCCATTACAAAGATTAGATCGTCAGCAAAAGCCTGTAATTTGAAGGTTTCCCCCTTTACTTTCAGTCCTTTTATAAGTTCATTGTCTCTGATTCTATCAGTTAAGGCTTCTAATGCAAAAATGAATAATAAAGGCGATAGTGGGCAACCCTGTCGGGATTCAGCCTTTCCTGTGCCACCAAAAATGCTTTACCTTGCTGTGTCTGAGTTCAAATCCCCGCTCTGGCATGGAAGCTTGCTGGGTGGCTTTGGGCCAGTCACACATACGCTTGGCCTAGCCTACCTCACAGGGTTGTTGTGAGGATAAAATGCAAAAGGGAGAACTATGCATGCCACCCTGAGCTCCTCGGAGGAAGGACAGAATAAAAAGGACTAGATAGATGGGACAGATGTACGCAAACTACTTACAGATGACTTTGGCAGGCTTATTCTGTAATTACTGTGTACCCACAGGGTTTTATGCAGCTAAATCATCATTCTTAATGTGCCGCAAATGCAGAACTAATAACTGCATGGATCCAACCAGGCAGTTCCTCCTACAAAGAGATGTTTCTGTTTGCAGAAGGGTATGTGGCAATTTCTGCTGATTCCCCCTTTTCCTGTTCTGTTCTGGAGAGTCTGCTGACCTCCAGGAACAAAATGGTGAGGGGGGGGGGGGGGGGGGGGGGACTGTGCTGCATCAGAAAGGAGAAACAAGAAAGTTCTGCTCTGTAAAGTCCATATATGGTTGGCTAGTAAAGGTAAAGGTTTCCCTTGCTCGAAAGCCAGTCGAGTCCGACTCTAGGGTTGCGGTACTCATCTCCGTTTCAAAGCCGAAGAGCCAGCGCTGTCCGAAGACGTTTCCGTGGTCATGTGGCCGGCATGACTAAAAACCAAGGCGCACGGAACGCTGTTACCTTCCCACCGAAGTGGTACCTATTTATCTACTTGCAATGTCTTGCTTTCGAACTGCTAGGTTGGCAGGAGCTGGAACTAGAGACGGGAGCTCACTCCGTCATGCGGCACACTCGGGTCTCAAACTGCTGAACTACCGACTTTCCACAGCCTGCAGTTCAGCATCTTAACCACTTGGGTCACCGCAGCTCCTATATGGTTGGCTACATGCCAATAAATAACACCACCACCACCAACAAAAACTATTGTGCCAGTAGTATACATGACGATTAAAAGGTTTTTTTTTTAAAAAAGCAGAAGTGCAGAGGCAACTTAAAGACTGTTGTTTTTGGTGAAAAGTGCTGTCAAACCGCAGCTGAATTATGGCAAGAGATGTTTCAGAGGTGGTTTGCCATTTCCTGCCTCGGCATCATGACCCTGGACTTCCTTAGTGGTCTCCCATCCAAATACTAGCCAGGGACAACCCTGCTTAGCTTCCGAGATCTGACGAGATCGAGCTAGACTGGGCTATCCAGGTCAGGGCATCTGTGTTCTCAGACAGGGTTGTCATCCTCCATTCACGGCCTGCAGATCTCCCTACTGAATCCAGAAGTCGAATTGTATCAGATCTGCATATGCGAACTTGCAACTCAGCAGCTTCTTGCTGAAGTCTCCCTTGGAAACTTTTCCACTGAAGTACAGCAAGCTA